TGGACCGAAGTGTTCGGTTTCAGGTGCAGCCAGTTGACGAGTCCCAAATACGATGAAATGATGAGCATCCTGGATTTCACCGCTAGTCACCATCGACCAACTGATCTCAGTATACAAATTGTTTGATCTATTATCGGATATCATGTCTACAGCAGTCCTTTGTATCCAACATTGTCTCAAACAAGGGAATCCGTCAACAAGATCAACCGCTTCACTTTCTACCTTAAAAGTGGGAGTCGGTGTAGATCAGTCAATCAAAATTTGACAGAGGCTCAAGGTGTTCTTCAAAAGACTCTAAATTTTGTCAGCATCTTCGTGTAGAACGACATTACCATCCATACAATCTCAGTCAACCAGAGTATACCCTTGTAAGAAGTCGATCGGAGTATCAAATTCTGTGCCGACTAGTTCAGCTGTGAGCAGTATTAGGAGGAGGAGGAGGTGTAAAACGCCTAAACACAAGTGACAGGTAAGCCTTTAATCAATATTTTTTGCTCTTTCTTCTTCTCAAACGATTTTTTGAGTAATATACGTCCAAACCAAGTTCACTTTTAACAGTTTGAAAAAATTTGGGTATTGGGTATATAATATTCATCATAATAAAGGTTTTCTTGTATTTCCCAATGAATGAAAAACAAAACGATATTGTTGTTTTTACTGACATTTCGCTATTTAATGCTAATAGCCTTATCAAAGTTTCATTAAACCAGAATTCACAAAATCTCAGCAAATATATAACAGAGAGTTAAGATGTGAGAAAATAGACTTAGGTCAAGTTAAAGGGGACATACTGAAGAAGAAGAAATGTCAAACATTACTGAAACTCTCAAGCAAAACAACTATCCAACGAACTTCATCAACAAAATCAACACTGACATTAAGTGTGGCCGAAAACGCATTCCGAAAACATGAAGCTCAACAGTTGTCATTCCATATAGAGAGGAGACGTCAAACGATATCAGAAGAGTACTCAATCAGCTCGACATCAGAGTTTTCTTCAAAACATCAGACACACTGCGAAACAACCTTGTCCATGTAAAAGACAAAAGCCCTTAAGATTCTCTATCTAATTGCGTCTATAAAAATAAAATGCTTGGAATGTGATGCGATATACATCGGACAAACATCTCGAGAAATCAAAATCAGAAGAAATGAACACCGTAGAGCATCTGTTCGATCACCGAAAAATCCGGTTGAAATAGAAAAACTTGAAAAATCATCAGCCACACGCTATAGAATCAGGCCACAAAATTGATTTTGACAATATTGAAATAATCCAGAAATAAAATTTCAGAAATCAAAAAGAAAGTCTCACATCATTGGAAGCACTTCATATCAAGTGGAATCCAAGTTGGCTGAATAGGAATGATGGACTAAAACAGAATCTGACGTGGTTACAACACCTCCCTCCCCCCCCCCATCAAGTGACAAAACGAACACGAATGTGATAAGCAATTTCATTATGTAAACACACACGCAGTTTTTATAATTTGACACACTTATCAAACCCAACAATATACACCTGGTTTTGTTATCTTTACTAATTGGCCAATTTGACAATGAAAAATGCCTCCATACTGAGGAACGATGATCAAGCTGGTAAACTTTTTTTTGATATCATAACAGATGTACTATTACCTTTGTTATTTGGTTTAGTGATCTTCATTGTTATTTTGACTTTCAATATATCCTTTTAACTTGACCTAAGTAGTCTATTTTCTCACATCTTAACTCTTTGTTATATATTTATACTGAAGTTTTGTGAATTCTGGTTTAATAATTCTTTGATAAGGCTATTAGCATTAAATAGCGAAACGTCAGGAAAATCAGTACAAGAAATGCTTTATTATAATGGATTGTTTTTGAGTAGTAGTCAAAAGCTTTGAAGCGGGACAACCAGAGACTTAAACTTGTCAAATTATAAGTGAACAATAGGCCTTATATATATAATCAATCTCTTTATGTTGTTTTTAGTTCTAATGACTACTACTCTACTAATGATTAAAGAACTTTAACATATTTATTATGATTATTTAAAACAAGAACAAGTATGCGGAGAAATGGAGTTAATAGTCAGGTAGGTAGAGTTGTTTTTTGTTTGTTTATAAATATTCTGTGATTGAGATCTTATTCACTGAACTGAGATTGATTGGTTGATTGATTGATTGATTACACTCACTGCTGATCATCGAAAACGCACTCAGTGCGTGTTTTTGCTTTGATTAAGACAGAGTGAAGATGCGCCAATGGTAGAATGCACGCCTACTTACACACCCAATAGGTGCAAATTCAATTCCCGGCTGAAAAAATATACACTTAAGCCTTGCCCAGATTTTTTTCCTTCACGTTCCCCAGTGTAACATAGGGTGGCTTCAAGCTAGTGGCTTGAAGTTTCTGTAGCACTGTTTATTTTACAGGATGGGGTTGCTAGCCTCATGCCCAACCTTTCCTCTATACCAGTATTATTTCTGGTTTAGCAAGGTGAAGGAGTGCGTCGTTGGCCGGGGATCGAACCCCGGACCATGTGCATGATCGGCGAGCGTCCTAACCACTATACCACCGACGCCCAGATTACTAACTGGTATTATCCCCGGTGAAGAAGGAAACTTGGAGGTTAGTGTGAGATGACTAGCGACCCTCACCCCAACCCAACCCGCCATCCGGTAAAATGATACACTAGTGGAATGTTACTAAAGTCTCAAAGTCTGAAGATTGAAGGCTTACGTTCCACTCCGAGAGCAAAGGAATGAAAAGTAGAACTGGTATCTCATTCCATAGAATAATTGGTTTACTAGGTATTTTTTATTTATTTTATTTTTGGTTACAGCTTGATGCCACACCGTATTTTCAGTACAAGTATGGAATTTTCAGCATGGATATCGGTAGCCCAAATTTTGCAGGCCGACCATAGATTAGGGTGTGTGCCGGCAGGGGATCGAACCCCGGACCATATGCATGGTAGGCGAGAGTCCTAACCACATACACACACACAGTCTTTGAGACAGTGTTATTATTGTTCACTGGATGACACAGTTTTGAACACAATGTATTTTTGTTCATAATCATATTATCCATTATAATCACACGACTTTTAAACTTGAGCTTTATAGTTTCCTTAATTCTCTCCAAATGGTCGTATGGTTGACATGGGTGTCACACATGACAATTGTCTGTCTGTCTGGTTTTAACATAGAACTTTGCACCGGTGTGCAACAGTTCGAGTCGAGACACTCCACTTAGTACACAAATTCAGAGGAGAAAAAGAAGAAAGTAAAAAGAAACGCAAAATACAGACAGTAAAGAGATATGATCTTGTGTTGTAAGTACAGTGTACAGTACAGTACAGTACAATGTAGATGACACATTCACTGTCAATGCAAGCAGGAATAAAAGTGGCTGACATTCAAGCTACACACAAACTCATTTAGAAAGAAGTCTTGTTAGTTAAAGAATCAATCCTGTGGAGTCAATTAAACAAAACAATTTAGTTTATCTAATATACCCCGTCTGCAATGATTACCAGATCAAATACATGGGTCAAAGTAGTTCAACCGGATTAGTCAGTCAGACTAACAGAGCATAAAAACCTAGGAGTTAAATTTACATTGGTTGATCCTAATAAGATAAGAAATCTGGAGAATAGTTCAGCTATACCACTCACTACATGCAATTACACACAACCAAATATACAACAGGATGGGATACAATGACACTTTTAAAATCTAATATAACAGGCTGGATGGAGAGATTGATAATGGAAGCTTTGCCTATCGAATCAGCTGCAAACACATGGAACAGGAATGATTCAACACCTGTCCAGTCAGACATCTGGAATAGGAAAGAAACTCCATACATTTATTCCCCTTAGTGAATTTGAATAAAGCAAGAACAACAGTGTGATTTCTGAAGAATACAAGGTGGTAACATCATTGTTTATTTCGTTGGTTGCCCATCAGTTCAGCTGCTTGCTTACAGCCTAAATAAATTATGACGTTTATGTACAGAGACAGTTTTAACATACTTGCAAATTCTTTTTTCTATGATGTCAGTTGACAGAAGGTTCCGCAATTAGTGAACAGTGCTCAGAAAATTACACTTATATAGTTTTTCACACAGGCACTTCAAGTTTAAACAAAACAAATGTATGCATACAATGGTAAAGGAGTTATGTAATAAAGACGAGAGATACGTAAGATGCCGAGTGACTAATAAATTAGGTGACAATGTACTGACTTCAACTCAAATCAAAATTACACTATGTCAAAGGGGTGAGGTTAAAGCCAAAGATTACGCAATCAAATGAAAGAGAAAATAAAGACATCCAGTTAGCAGTCAGGGCAAGGAAAGACTGATGATAACTGCTTCTTTCTGAACACATAAATCTGGTTTCAAGCGTTTGATAGAGATTGCTTCGGCAAATTTGAGGAGAATCGAGCTCCTTTGTCTATTGATAATTTTAAAGGTGCCTCATTTAATTGGAAGGCTAATAAAATCATAATAGTACGCACCTAGGACCTTCTGGTTCCAAGGTGAGCTCGCAGACCATTAAACCACTGGGACCCTATCCAATGGACAGCCCATGAATTCTAACTTCTGCCAATTCACGACATAGCGCGTCCACTAGCCAATGTCATCAGTGGCGAGTATTTGTCATCACGCACGACCTTCTGCACCCTACTGGTCATGACTTCCCATTAGAACCCAGGTAACTACCTACCTGAATAGGGCCAGTCACCAGTGAGCATCTCATCGATATTCAAGTATTGGTTTAAAGGGATGTGATTGATTGGTTAAAAGTTGCTGCCGAAGAGTCTCATGCTAAGACGAAACTCATGACTGTCCAGTACTCCCTGACTGGTTTTCCAATGGTTCTCTAACCAATGTCAGCTCATCATGATGAAATCCTGTAATCAATCAATCAAATCCCTACTTGAAAATCCCAAAAATATTTAAAAAAAATAAAAATAAAAACTAATCAAACGCATTTTAAACAAACTGACCTTTTGACAGAGTAGATTATATACAGATTGACGTAATGGGAATATAATCAATGGGACAGAGACAATATTTGTCAGGAGGAATCCAACACGTATACAAAAACTACGAAAATCATCTGGATACATTAGAAATACATTGCCAGAAAATACTGTCCTCTTAGAAGTGTGATGATTACTGGCAGTGTAGTTGGCGCTGAAAAATGCTGCATATCCAAAGAATCCAAACTACATAAATTGGGTAGGTGAGGTTGGGGAATTAAACAAACAAATAGAATACAACCTGAACAAAAATATTTATTGCTTTAGAAACAGAATAATAGAAAAGAAAAAAGAGAGAAATAGCCACCACAAACCATCTGATACAGCTGGGAGTGGGTCGCAGGAGGGGTGTGGTGGGTAGACTTCGGTTTCCCTGTCACTCAAAGTGTGCAATATTGAGGTTAGGTGTCTAGCGAGTGCTAGGTAAGGAGGGGAAACCAATAGACGAGGCTGTGAAATTACATCGACTGAGATGGTTAGGACATGTGTTACGTATGCCTAGTCATCACCTCCCTCGACAATGGGCAATGTTAGCTGATATAAGGCCAGGCTGGAAAAGAACTAGCGGCGGTCAAACGAAAACATTGCACCAGTCAACGAAATCCACAACAGTTAGTCTAAGCCAGCCACGTAGGAAGGTGTAGACTTCCTGACTGGTTGGGGTCCTCTGGACGGTAAAAACCAATGGTTGGAAACAATTGGTGATAGGGCTCAAAATCGTTCTCAGTGGTGCAGATGCATTCACTTCTTGTGACTTATGATTTCCAATGAAACTGTTTTGTTATTCGTTGTTACTACTCCTTTGTCTCACACCGCTATTTACTGTTTCTAAAATGCATTTCTCCTACTTTCTTCTATTGCTTTGTGTGCTACATGGAGTGTGGCGACTTGAACTGCCACACATATGTGCAAAGTTCTATGTCGAAAACCGACCGACCGACCGAAGTGTTCTCTCACACAACCACGTGTTTATAGCCTCTTTCAGGTAAGTCCTTTTCAACGCCTTCATGCCACGGCGGGAGTGTTCCGCACAAAAGAGAAAGCATGGAATCTGAACATCTGGCGTTTGCACAAACTCTGGCTGGAAGACGGATATGTTGATCTACCCAGTAGGGGGTCTAGAATCCGAACAGATCGAATGGCGTGTATAAACCTGTTCTGGTCACCGGAGACGATGGGGACGCCGCTTCAATACCTTGTAGATCAGACTTTAAGTCAAGGGCTTTGGAGTGGGGTGGACCCTTAAGATAACCACTTGATTCGGTTTGACAGTTCGGGCAGTAAGTATCCCGGCCCTCAGGCAAACTATGAGATTCTGTGTTCCATAGATCATACAACGAAGTTATGAATGCTTCCTTGTATGTGTGGCAGACAAGTCTGCTTATCTATTTAGTGATTCTATTCCCATTATTTCTGTTTTCTGATTGGTCGACTATTTTTTGTGATGTATCTCTTGGTAGTGGAGAGAGATTAAAAGATTCTCTGGATGCTAAACACCGTCCAGAACAAGCTGGATTCAGGAAAAAACTAATTACGCGTGGATGAAATCGCAACTTTACGCAATATCATTTAACATCGCATGGAATGATACAGTCATATCTCCACCTCAACTTCAGCGAATTTGAAAAGGTCTTTTGATAGCGTCGACCAATAAGTAATTTGAAAACTACTGCAACACTACAGCTATATGACAATGCCACACGTCAAATGATCCAAAACGGAAAACTCACTCAGCGAGGCATTCGAAGTGAATACACGATGATTATCCTAATTGAGATGGACTGGATTATGAGTCAGACTGTACTTTGACAGTGAGAAGACAGGAATATGCTGGACTGACGCATAAGAAGACTCTCGAAGATCTGGATTTTGCGAGGGGACGATGCATGTTTATTGTTATACACAGTCGAAGACTTGCAGGCAGGCGGTGAAGACAGGACTCCAGATGAACATGGAGAAGAAGACAGAAGTGATGAAGAAACCTAATGAACGGGAAAAATCTGAAAGTAGTCACCTCTTTCACTAATACAGGCAAAGTCGTTTCAACTGCAGAGGGTACGGATGAACACATATGAAACGGAGAATCGGACAAGCAAGACAGACATTCATCAATCTAAAATCAGAATGGGAACCTACTACACAATTAGGATAAAGAAAAAGACAAGATTCAGGTTTTCAACAGCTAATGTCCAATCACTGTTCCTATACTGTTCACACTCAAAATACACAAGCCAAATATCCCGTTACGACCAACTTTATCACTCCCAGGAACTCCAACATACAATTTATCCAAAGAATAATACAGAAAATTGAAACACCTCTAACGGAATCTTGTGATCACTCCATCAATTCTGCTATCCAATTTCTAGAGAAAATCACAGGCATTCAAATAGATGATATCCTTCGACATCACAGCATTATATACCTCAAATGGACAGAAACTAGCAAAACAGACCGTAGAGTAACTACTCAGCAACGACGAACACCTCCCACAACAATCAAAAAGCAACACACAAGTTGAATGGAATGCAAAAACCTGTGCCTAACAACGTACTTCCACTTCAACAGCCAAATATATGAACAAGTTAAGGGAACACCCATGGGGTCGCCAATATCAGGTTTAATTGCAGAAGCAGTGATGCAAAGGCTCGAAAACATAATCCTAACAAACATCAAACCCACAATTCGGATACGTTACGTAGATGACACATTCATAATATTCAAAAGAAACGAGTTGGATAAAACTCACAACTTAATAAACAACGTCTTCAATGACATCCAATTCACAAGAGAAGAGAAATCCGAGAACAAAAATCCCATTTTTAGACGTCTTAGTCAAGAGAACAACCACAGGGGAATTTGAAACTCAAACTTATAGCAAATGAACTCACACAGAACAAATACTCAATTACAACAGCAACAATCCAATAACACACAAAGCGAGTTGTGTATTCAAGAGACCCAGGACTTATTGCAGCACTCCCACCTTAAGCGAAATCGAAGAAAGATATCTCATGGACGTGTTCCAAAAGAATGGATACCCACGGAATTTCACCAAAAGACATATACCCCCCAAGCCAAAGGCCCCCAAGGGAAGCACAACGAAAGTCGCCCTACTATATATAAAGGATATATCAGAATTCACTGCAAGACTCTTCAAATTTTTAGGAATCGACGTCGCACACAAACCAACAAAATCACTTCACTCAGCTGGCTCTATGTCAACTAAAAGACTCAAAAGCGAAAGAAGATAAAAGCAATATCATCTACAAAATAAGTTGCAACTACTACGAAAAACACTACATTGGCCAAAGTGAACGTCCCCTTCGTCTTCGTATCCATGATCATAAGCGTCGGTGGCACAGTGGCTAGGACTCTCGCTGACCACGCACATGGTCCGGAGTTCGATCCCCTGCCGACCCACACCTGATATCTATGGTCAGCCTGCAGAATTTGGGCTACCGATATCACATGCTGAAAATTCCATACGTGTACCAAAAAATATGGTGTGGAATCAAGCTGTAATCAAAATAAATAAAACATAAGCTAGCCGTCAAAAGACATGACATCCACTTCCTCACTCATATCATCTCACTGCATACAGACAACCACGGACATCAATTCGACTGGGACAACCAATGTTTAAATATAAGACAGAGGAAACACCAAGAATGCTAGAGAATTTTTAGAAGGCTGTCGGGTATTCCAGTGAATCATCAATCAATAGACACACTGACATAGACAAAATTTACCAACCGATAAGAAGGAAATCTCACACACAAAGGGTCAAATTTCAAGTCAAAGAAACAATCAGTTCCAATACAAGTAGCCTAGATGATGTGAAAACACACAAAAACAACCAATCACGTTCAACGTCACCCACCAGGAGAGATGACTAATAGTGAACTCGTGGAGAAATCTAACAGCTCACTTCAATTCAGATTGAAGTATGCGCTGAAGATGTTGTCTAGCAAGTAGGGCGACGAAAGCTTCGCAAATTAACTATCCAGCTCAGAGAACACAACCACATCAAAATCATCCACCATCATCATACAGCCGCCAGCCGATGATGAGGAACAGCTAATTGAAGTAAAGGAATGCATATTTCTTAGCTCAATTTGTTGCTTATTTTTTTCTAAATGTGAATTTGGAGGTGACATTTTTGACAAAACATTGAAAGCTGAAAACATCACAAATTCACAGATGTACATAATAAGTACAAGTTAGATTACAAACTTACAAAGCCATAGACTACAGCAACAGTAGATAAAGCCACACGAACAACTAATCGCATATTAGAAGGCGTTGGCTGATATGAACTTGTAGATGTGACATGTAGTTGCCTGGAAAAAACAAATAAATAAATAAATAAACAAGCACAATGAAAAGACATTTAAAAGACAAATTGATTGGTCACCTATAAATCGATCACAATTAACTGAATGTTCAAAAATATCTACCGGCTGAGAAAATGTAAAAAGAATTTAGGCGGATCATAGTGTAACGGCGGGAGATCGGAGATTCGGGAAAAGGAATTCCACAGTGAAACAGTATTATTGTTCACTGGATGACACAGTTTCGAACAAAATTTATTGTTCATAATCATATCATCAATGATAATCACACGACTTTGAAATTTGAGTTTTGTAGTCTTCTTTATTCTTCCCTTTTCGTCGTCGTAGGGGTAGTAGAATTTTTCAGATATCTAACTGGACAGCTATTGAATAATCCCTATTACACGTGTTTTCAGTCGATTCGATAAACAAAGCCTGCGTTATCAATCTCTCCCTCCACCCTGCTGTTACATTAGATTTTGAAACTGTCATCTTATCCCATCCTATTGTATGCTTGGTTGTGTGTTACCGCATGTGGTGAGTGGTATAGCTGAACTATTCTCCAAATGTCTTATCTTATGCGGGTCAACTAATCTAGATTTTGCTGCCAGGTTTTAATGCTCTGCTGGTCTGACTGACTGCACTTGTTCTACTATTCTGACCTATGTGTTTGATCTGGCAATCATCGCAGACGGGGTATGCTAGATTAACTAAATTGTTTTGTTTAATTGACTCCACAGGATTGATTCTTCAACTAACAAAACTTCTTTCTAAATGAGTTTGTGTGTAGCTTGAATGGCAGCCACTTTTATTCCTGCTTGCATTGACAGTGAATGTGTCATCTACACTGTACTGTACTGTACACTGTACTTAGAACACAAGATATAGATGGATTTTTCGAACACATATTAACTCAAAGGTGGAGGCAATTCAATTCACTTATGAATTGGAAAGTCAGGTAGGGGAACCGCCAATGTTAGATTGCAGTGTAAAAAGGAAAGAAGATGGGCTGTTAAACACACAATAGTGTTTACAGGAAACCCACACATTCAAACAGATATTTCGATTTCCGATCATCCCATCCTATGTCAGTAAAAATAGGATTGGTGAAATGTTAAAGTGGCAGAGCACAAAAACTAAGTAGTACCAAGGAAAACCTAAGACAGGAAGTGATACATATAAGAGAAGCCGTACAGCTGTTGAATAAGGTTGATGAATATTTGGTGTACGCCGTAGTACTCGAGTAATTTCCAAATTACTTCGCGGTCAAAGCTATCGAAGGCCTTCTGAAAGTCTATAAAGTTTACTAATTTACTAATATAGAATGTTAAAACAATTAGTCCCTTTGATAAATTTGAATAAGGCATACAGAAGACAATTTTCACAAGAAGATGGCATCATTTCGAAGTTTCTCTACAATCGCTTTACAACTAGCATGGTTCACAATAAGAAAACAAAATGCATGCTATGTAAACGTAATGTGGATGATACACTCATTATTGGTAATAACAGTATAAGTCTATTAGAAAACTTTGTTACTCTATTTAAATCATATTCATCCAAATATTCGAGTGACTTCCGAATTCGAATCGAATAACAAACTCGGTTTCTTGGATATTTCAATGACTAGGAGAGGTGATGGAACGATTAAGCGATCTATTTTTCGCAAACACACATGGAGTGGACAATATCTTCGTTTTACCAGTTTTGTTCCTATCCAGTATAAACGTTCCCTAGTGAAATGTTTGTTCTCAAGGGCCCGAAAAATATGCACGAGTGACACATTGATGGATGAGCTTCGACATATACATTCAGTTTTATTAGCTAATAGTTATCCAGAAATCTCTATCAAATGTCCCAGTAAGGATAGACCACATCTTGAAAAGACACCTTCTGTACCAAGCAAAGCTATCTTTATTAACCTACCATTCAAAAGTGATCAAATTATGCAGTTGACAGCTGAAAAACTTCGGTCAGCTGTCAAGCGCACACATTCTACGCCGCATCTCTTTCCATCAGATCTCGAACATTTTCGATCCCTTTACCTACGATTAAAGGATGAAATTCTGTGGACTCTACTTCAAACTGCATGTACAAGTTCACTTGCAGTTGTTGTGGTGACATTTATGTAGGTAGAACCAATAGAATGTTCCAATGTCGTCGTAAAGAATATGTTCAAAAATGGTTGTTAAGACACATAGAAAATTTCAATGCATTCAATCTGAATAGAAATCCATCATCACCATCCATTGTAAAGCACTTATTACTGTCAGGTCACAAAATCAATATTAATCAATGACTGCTTCACAATTATTTCATCACATACCTCTAATTCAAGGTTGGTTATTAAGAGTGACGGAAGTACTTTGGATTAATCACATACATCCTAAACTATGTGTACAAAACACAACAGACTTCAATCTTCGCCGACGACATAGACTATTTGACCTACTTAAATATGATTGGTCATTAGTACGTACTTCTTTTTGATTGCACACTAGTCAGCAACTAGTGTAATGTGTCTAGTCCTATCTTCGGTGCAAACTGAATCCTATCAGTCATGTTTGCAATGTGGCCACCATGCTAGGTGGCTCACCATTACGGTGCGCTGTGAATTGTTGGTTTTAGATGGTTGGAGGCAATCGGCAGGAAGCCTTGGACCTAGGTTTCGTGCTAGTTGGCACTCATCAGCAAGGCGTATCTGCAACCTTGAAGGAACTGATGTCCCTTCTGAGATGTCCCTTCAGCACTGGGTGACGCGGGTTCGAATCTCAGAAGGGATATGAGTTCCTTCAAGGTTGCAGATACGCCTTGCTGATGAGTGCCAACTAGCACGAAACCTAGGTCCAAGGCTTCCTGCCGATTGCCTCCAACCATCTAAAACCAACAATTCACAGTGCACCGTAATGGCGAGCCACCTAGCATAGTGGCCACATTGCAATCATGACTGGTAGAATTCAGTCTGCACCGAAGATAGGACTAGACGCATTACACTAGTTACTGACTAGTGTGCAATCAAAAATATCCACTACAGTCCTACAGGAGGTCAGTTGAGAGCCTGAATAGCTCAGTGTTAACGTCTCTGACTGCAGTACTCACTGGGTGACGCGGGTTCCAATCTCAGAAGGCACATGAGCTCCCTCGAGGTTGCAGATACGCCTTGTTGACGACTGATGAGTGGCAACTAGCGCGAAACCTAGTTCAGGCAAAACTTCCTGCCGATTGCCTACAATCATCTCATATATATAACTGAGTAATTGTCATGCATTTTATTTCATTTTGATTATTGTGAACCAACCAACCAAGCTAGGTTGACGATACCATCTCATTTCGTGAAATTCTAAAAATGCCTGAATTCTAGTTAAAAAATAAACAAAAAGACTTTAAAACTCACGTTTGACAAAACATTGAAGCCAAAAATATGGGAATACATTCAATTAAACCAGCCGGTCGCCACCAATTCATTTGTCCCCAAGGCATATTGGAGATTAATCGAGGTAGACCCAGAATAAATATCATCTGGAATATATAAGGCAAAATTTCAAGTTGAGAAAATGTTAAAACAAGGGATTGGTAAGCATTCAAAGACAACTTTTAGAGAAAAGAACCCCACTACTCAAGCATAATATATAATCGTTTAAATAAAAAAAAACACCACACACACAAAAACGTAATATCTAGACAGAAGCCAGGTGAACATAGACATAGACGGAGGTTATGAAAATAACCAACCAACCAACAACAACAGAAGCAGCAACATCCAGCGCCAATCACCATCAACGGGAGGGATTTGAAAGAGGTTACTTCATTCACTTATCTAGGGAGCATTGTCTCAACTACACGAGGAACGGACGAGGATGTCAAATCGAGAATCGGGAAGGCGAAAAACATATTAATCAACCTGAAACCAATCTGGAAATATTCGTCACTCAACATCAACAACAAAATGATTCGGATTTTCAATACAAACGTCAAGTCAGTCAGTTCTTCTGTACGGATCAGAAACTTGGCGGGTCACAAAGAATATTTCCAACAGCCTGTTGCAGACCTTTATCAACAACAGCTGTCTTCGTTCTCTACTGAAGATCAGATGGCCGGAAAGAATCACCAACAAGAAACTATGGGAACAAACAAAACAAGAACCAATCGCTCAACAAATATGCAGGAGAATGTGAGGATGGATTGATTGGACACTCACTGAGGAGGCCTCCGCTGGGTGACATCGCGCGTCAGGCCATACCTCGAGTGGAACCCGAAAGGGAAGCGGCGAGTGGGACGTCCACGAATGACATGGAGGAGATCGTGTGAAGAGGAATTGAAACAGTATGGAATAACTTGGATGCGGGTGAAAAGTAGGGCAGAAGACAGAGGCAAGTGGAGACGTGTCATTGAAGCCCTATGTTCCACTAGGAACCCAAGGGAACAATGATAATAATAATTGATGTCAGTCAGCGAACCATCCAAAAACCAAGGTGTGCTGCACAGATGTTTCGTCCTAGTTTGAGACTCTTCGCAGCAGTACTCCCCTATCATCCATCTCACTCACTGGGGATCGAACCTAGAACCTTTTGTTTACGAGGCGAACTCGTTGACCATTCAGTCACTGGGAAGGAATCCAACTGACCAGGTTATAGCGCCACGGTTAAGCACTGGTTGAATGGTTAACAAGCTAACCTCGGAACCTGAATGTCCTAGGTTCGATACTCCGTGAAGTGATGGGTGCGTGGTGATGAAGAGCCCCAAACTGGGAAGAAACAACTGTCCAGTATTAACTTCATGGTTCTCTAACCAATGGTGAAAGTAACCTAAATTGCTCATTCATCGATATCGATTGTCTTGCAAACGATACAAACCACAAAGACTGTTGCCTTTTACACCCCCTAAACTTCTGCCATTTCCTGATTTGGTCAGTGCATCAGCGCTAAGAAGTTGCTCTTACATTGACTAACAGTGAATCAGGATAGGTGTTGGCTATGCATGCATAATAATATATGTGCCTCAGGTATCTCATCAACTGAATTGCCTATTTTACACGTATAGTGTTTGCGTTTATACTAGTGTTGGCTATTAGAAGTCAATCGGTAGATTAGATTTTATCCTCATTTTTCACAATATCATCAAGAACTGCCAAAGGAATGTCTAGAAAATCAAACGATTTTTCCCAAAAAAAGTACTATGCGCCAATGATTAGTACAACTGTCAACCTGACTTCTTGATACGCTTTGTTGGTACAACCAGTTGGGGAACGCTATTCAACAATATTTACAGCATATTAAACGCTAGTAATAGCACTTCTTTTTATTTCAATAAACAAAATTCAAGTGTATTATGTCATACGGTTAATCAAGCACAGTTAAACTGAAAATTAAATAACGTTTAATATTTGTAAAATCTCAGCGAAATTGAATTATGAGTAATTCCAACGTTTCATTCGGCAATCTGGTCCGAACTTCTTCAGGGAAATTAATCGAAATTAAAGTAGCTCAGTACTCTCTTCGACGATTGATATACTAAAATTGGAACGATACAAGGAAGACTGGCATGGACCCTGCGCAAGGATGACACGCAAAATCGTGAAGCGTTCCATATTCTTGTGTGCGTCGTTGGCACAGCGGTTAGGACGCTCGCCAACCATGCACATAGTCCGGGGTTCTGTCCCCTAGAAATAAAGCTGGTAAACAGGAAAGGTTGGGTATGAGGTTAGCAACCCAATCCTGTAAAAACAAACACTGCCACAGAAGCTTCAAGCCTCTAGCCCTCGCTATGTTCCACCGGGAACGTGAAGGAATAAAAAAACAGCTCAATCTTCAAAAAGAAGACAAATCAATAAGTTCAACAGGATGTTTCAACTAAACTCTAATCCTAAACACCATAATTTTGAAAATACGTCTAATCATAAAATTCTAGACAGTAACAGTTTGAACAGACGTAAAGGTGTGATTTTAGCTGATGCATGGGAAGTCCTGATTAATAAATAAAAATGGATATGTATCACTAATTAATCATACTTGGTCTAAATTCCCGTTTGTTTATATCCTCTTGTGGAGAGGCTAATAAATGCTTACAACTATTTACCCATACACACACGCACACACCATCGTATGCCGCACATACACACATATCTTCGTAGTCAGTTATCTACGACGATGAATTTTAAGTCGAATGTAATCACTCGAATTGTGATGTAAAGTACACTATATATGTCCAAACCAAGTTCACTTTTAACGGTTTGAAAAAAACAATATCGTTTTGTTTTTCATTTATTGGGAAATACAAAAACTTTATTGTAATAAAGTACACTATGTTTAAAGTGTTTGACAAGTTAGAATTCATGGACTGCCCATTGAATCGGGTCCCAGTGGCTGAATGGTATACAAGCTTGCCTTGTAACCGGAAGGTCCTGGGTTCGAACCCCGTGGTGTGGGTGCGTACTGCCAATGATTCCCAAACTAGGCTGATGAAACAGCTGCCCAGTACTCCCTGGTTGGTTTTCAATGGTTCTCTAACTGATATCAATCTGTGATCAACTCGTAAAAAGTAGAACAATATTTGTAAGTCTGAGGTCAAATTTTGATCACAGCTCATACAATTTTGTTTGTTTATTATACATGCTGATGACTGTTTCATGACTCATATGATTGGACAAAGTTTTTAAAATACAAGAGATGTCCTTTTTTATATATAAACCTTTGTTATGTTAATTTCGATTAATTTCCCTGAAGAAGTTCGAACCAGATTGCCAGAACGAAACGTTCGAATTACTTATTTCAATTGCACTGAAATTTTAAAAAATAAAACTTTTACAAATGTCTACTTCTCACTCGGCGCCCAATTATTTTACAACTGTTCCGTCAAATGTTGACTACAATTCATATGAACGGTTAACATTGCATATCGTTTTTAAATATGTTGACTTTTCAACAGGTTACTAAAGACCTTCACATCAACAGCTGCCTTCATTGGCTCGATGTTGAAGATCGCATGGTTAGCTAGAAAGAGGGGACAAGCAACAAGGAACTCTTGTAGTGAACTAGCGTACCACCTGTTGCCCATAAATATGCAGGAGAGAAATAGACACAGGATTGGACACACGCCGAGGAGACCATTAGGTGAAATCACGCGTCAAGTCCTTGGGTAGAACCCGAATGGAAAACAACGAGTTGAGTATCTGCGGATGACATAAGGAGGATCATGTGAAAAGGGGAGATGAAAACTTGTCGGCAATCGTGGAATTAGATATTATTTTTTTTAATTTTTTATTATAGCTTGAAACCACACAGTATTTTTGGAACAAGTATGGAATTTTCAGCATATGATATCGGTAGCCCAAATTTGCAGGCCTACCATAGATATCAGGTATGCGTCGGCAGGGGATCGAACCCCGAGTCATGTGCATGGTCAGCGAGAGTCCTAACCGTTGTGTCACCAACGCATAATACGTTATGTAACTAAGCTACCACCTGTCATGAATTTCTAATCCTTAATTTTTTTATTCCTTCACGTTCCCAGTGGAACATAGCGAGGGCTTCAAGCTAGAGGCTTGAATTTTCTGTAGCAGTGTTTATTTTTACAGGATGGGGTTGCTAGCCACCTCATGCCGAGCCCAACCTTTCCTCTTTACCAGCTTTATTTCTCGCTTAGCGAAGTAAAGGGGTGCATCGGCCGGGGGATCGAACCCTGGACCATGTGCATGGTCGGCGAGTGTCGTAACCGCTGTGCCATCGAAGCACTAATCCTTACCTAATGACGAAAAATACTTACTTTGTGCATGGGTTTATCCTGCTACAAGATCACCATCTTTATAAGATCAAAGTGGTGGTGGTGCGGGGGTGTGTAGAACTGTTTAAAAACAGAATCCTACGGCTAAATATCATTGCTTTTAGCTAAATAAGTGTAACAGTTTCATGTTAACCTGAAGAAAACTATAAAACCTTTATCGACTATCACATGAAAAAAGGAACTGTACTCAACCTGGAAATACAATCAATAATGAAAAAAAACAATAATAATAAGTACTCACATGAAAGGTTACCACTCCGTAAAAAAGGCTAGTGAAAACATTCAACCTGAGAAGTTTTTGTACTTGTGAAACCAAACACAGCGGGATAATCATGATTGTGAAAATCACTAATAAGACAGTTCGTAGTCTTTCAGGTGGCTAGATAAGAATTTTGTGTGAAGGAAAAAAAAGAAAAAGATTACGTAACACAGGAAGATTATGACATTCAAGACGAAAAAAACAAGAAACCTATCAACATAAATAACTAACTACCCAACACAGTCTAGTATCATGCATTCATTCCCCTTTATGTGAATTTAAATAAAGCAAGAACAACAGTGGAGGTTTGTGAAGAATAAGGTGATGGTACCGTCATTGTTTATTTCGTTGGCTTCTCATCAGCTCAGCTGCTTGCTTACAGCCTAAATAAATTATGAGATTTATGTACACAGACAGTTTCAACATACTTGCAAATTCTTTTTTCTATGATGTCAGTTGACAGAAGGTTCCACAATTAGTGAACAATGCTCAGGAAATTACACTTATATAGTTTTACACAGGCAGTCCAGGTTTAAACAAAATAAATGTACGCATACAATAGTAAAGGAGTTAAATAATAAAGGCGAGACATGCGTAAGATGCTGAGTGACTAATAAATTAGGTGACAATGTACTGATTTCAACTCAAATCAATATTACACTGTTTCAAAGGGGTGAGGTTAAAGCCAAAGATTACGTAATCAAATGAGAGAGAGAGAATAAAGACATCCAATTACCATTCAGGACGAGGAAAGACTAATAACTGCTTCTTTGTGAACATATAAATCTGGTTTCAAGCGTTTGATAGAAACTGCTTCGGCAAACTTGAGGAGAATCGAGTTCTTTTGTCTATTGATAATTTTAAAGGATTCCGCGATTTCCACCACATGAACCGTATCAGGGAGATGTCTGATAATGGCGCTATTATAAGAGGTTGTTCCCTTGACACGTAGGCTTTTCACCACATGCTCAGAAAATCGAAGGTGTGCTCTTCTTTCTGTTCTCACAATGTAACAGCTCCCGCAGATACACGTAAATTTGTATACAAAGTTGGAGTTGCTAGCATGAGAAGGGTATCTGTTGACTGCACCAAACAGCATGTTGTTCGATAGACGGGAACCAACTTAGCTGCAGGATAGGCTCTGGCTAGTGACGTACTCAGTTATCTGTTGTCCATTGTTGCAATGTTTTCACCCTTAAAATCTAGTTGAATGATTTGTTTGATGTACGAGCCTTCACATCTTCCATATTTGTTAATGAATCTTCGAGGATAACCGTTGTTTTTTAACGCCTTTTCGAGAATCGAATATTCTTCCTCTAATTTCTTTGCAGAGCACATTCTCCTCTCCCTATAGTACAGAGTCTTGACTAGTGCTCATTTATATCTAGCTATTTGGACAAAAACTCTTAAAATGTAAGTATTGTCCATTCCATGCCAGCTTTCGGTAAATTGATCTCTACCATCTTCTAGGCGTTGCATAGGGAATGTCAAAGAAATGGAACCTTCCATCATTTTCAAGTTTCATAGTAAATTCAATATTTGTATGTGCGTCATTGAATAATCTGAGTAGGTAGGAAGCATGACTTTCATTGTTGTACACTACAAATATGCCATCGACATATCGACAATAGGAAGTTGTTTCGTTAATTGCATGCTTCAACTTTGTTTTCTCAAGGTTTACATTCAAAACAATGAATGTAGGTCATTTATTAGAATTTTATTTTATTTTTAATTTGAACAAAATTACTCCACGTGATCACGCACCGGTAGTCGTAATGATTGTATATGCATTATGCATATATGCAAACTATTTGAACTACTATATAATTATAAATCTAACGCAGTATTTCCTTTGGACGAAAGCTTAGTAAACAATAAGCATTTAATCTGATGGAAATATAATCTCCCTGTTGACTACGATACCATTAATATAGTTGAGAAACAACTACAGACTTGCCTTTGTAATGGTCTAAGGAATTCCACTATTTACTTGCGGCAAAGAGTGTATGTCCAGCTTGGTGAATTTTGAGCAGAGGAATGATACATTCAGAGGGCCCCAACTTTTCATAGAATTCTGGCGTTAATAATTAATCATTTATTACTCACTTCAAGAATTTGTCTGTCTGTGAAGTAAGTTTGGGTTAAGTTCATTAGTACATCTATGATGAAATTGAATAGAAATGGCATCCTTGACGGACACCACTAGTTGTCACCACTTCAGATGACAATTCGCCGTAAGCCCTCACCTGGCTGACTGCATGAGTTCGAGTAGAGTGCTTTGATCAGTGCAATGTATTTTCTCGGCATTCCTTTTACAGCCAAACATCATCAGAGTACCTCTCGGTCGACAGAATCGAATGCCGCCTTTAGGTCAAGAAATATAACGATTGTTGGACGCCCACGGTAAGTATGCCTATGTTCCAGAATCTGTCGAAGGGTGAAGATATGATCAATACACCCTCTTCCTGGCCTAAAGCCTGCCTGGTTTTCTCGTGTTTGTGTCTCCCGAGCACCACTTAGTCTACGCATTATTATTGAGCCTATAACTTTAGATACCATATTAGTCAAGCTAATCCCCCTGTGATTATGACAGGAAGACTTGTCTCCCTTCTTGTATGTCGGGATAATCAATGACTTACACCAACCCGACGAAACTTCCTCTGATTCCCAGACGCTGCCTAATACCTTAGTTAACGTAGACAGTAAACTGTCTCCGCCGTACTTAAATACCTCTGGAGTCATTCCATCAGGTCCTGCTGCTTTGCCTCGTTTCAGACTAGTGACAGCCTTAGTAACCTGAGTTAGGGAATTTGTGTGTATCGTGTTTCCTAGATTACTTCTGTTTCTGAAATTTGTTTTCGTCTGAGAACACTCAAGATTTTACCAAAATAATCACTTCCATCCAATAGCGTATATACCTCTGCCTAGTCGAATTAACAAGATATTCCCATTTTCTCTCTCACATAGTTTAACTGAATGAAATATTCTCTCCGTAAATGATGTGACTATATCGGTTATTATTTTGTGAATTGATGCGCACAATCAAGTGTTAACATAATTCGAAATTATTCGAGTCATTTGGTGATGTCGGTATGATGTCTTTTGTCTAGTTGGTCATGTTTTGCTAACTGAAGCCGAATATACTATGTATCTGAATTTAATCAGGGAATATCAAACTTGAAATTACACAATAGTAACTCAAGTTGGATAGGACTGAAATTCAAACAGACTTATTTTTTCGGATGTTTTTCTAGTTTCCAACTTCATTTCATTAGCTCAAAATTTTCATTTTTTTCTCTCTCTCTCTCGCCGATACAATTTTGAATCAATGATTCCTTAGCTCTATGGTTCACCGGAAATTCACAAACCCCAACTACGTTTTCGCTTTATTCTAAACATGACAATCTCGTTCTATGATTATATCTCTAGGTAGATAGTGCAACCCTTGAACCAATAAAATGGCAAGTCTGTAATAATTTTCAACTCGACACATTTAAAATTTAAGTGTTGGTCTGCAGGGATTTGATTTGATGGATTTTGGGATTTCACTATAAGCTGACATCGGTTAGAGGACCATTGGAAAACCAGCTAGGAGTGGTGGACAGCTGTTTTGTCCTAGTTTGGGACTTGACATCAGTACGCACCCACCCACCAAGGTTCGAACCCAGGACCTTCCGGTTACAAGGTGAGCTCGTAGGTCATTAAGCCCCTGGGACCCAATCCAATGACCAGCCCATGAATTCCAACTTCTGATAGATAATTCACGATTTAGAGCGACCACTAGCCAAACTACTGTATACCACTGGTCACGAATTCTCACTAGAACATTTGAGTTTATTAGTGGCATTATTAGTAATAATAATAATAAAAATAATGCTGACATAACTGCTTTAACTTAAATTCAGATTACGAACTTTAATATTACAATAATGTAACACAATCGGTAAGACAAGTAAAGTCCAAAACTTATTAACTGCCAATAATCACACTTAGTATTTGAAAGTCGCCGGCTAAAATATAGCTGTAAATTAGGCTTTTCAAGAAACTTAATCAACTGCATAAACTAATTTTACATCTCTGAACGTCTCTGTTTCACATAATGCTCGTTCATGCTGATTGGACCAAAACTCAGGTATATCCCATTACACGTGGGCTTTAGGCGAGTGGATCTTTGGAGACTTCACTCTTTTAAGAGCTGTGCAGAGAAAAGGAAACATTTTCCAGGGTAAACTCCATATTTTCATGTACATCACCGAGTAGTCCAAACAGGTAATATGCGTGACTTTCATTAGTACATATGACACTCAAAGTAATAACTTTCGTTGATTGTATGCTTCAGCTCCCTCCCCTGAATAAGAAAAGAATATCTTCTAGTGCATACCGTATTGCTACTCCACCTGTTTGAAGGTGAAGAGCGTACTTGAGTTGCAGCTAGACATTTTGGGTCATAAATGCTTGAATTGCGGTACTGGCAGGTGGAGAAGTGTAGAATGGTAACAAACGTCTACTGTCTCATAAATCAGGATCCTGGTAAGAAAGGCCACATCAAATGATATGATTAAGTTATGCGGCTTGGGCTTTCAGTGAACTAAAACCAGTTTCTCATGGAGAATGCAGCCAGTAGTTGACGAATAGGTGTCGTAGACATACACAACAGCAAAATTGTAGATAAAAATTAATAGAGAATACAATTAAAAGAAAACTCTAATACCTCCGGTGAGATTTCCTTTTTCTAATTGAGATAACTGTCAATCACCACTGCATTTAAAACTCATGAACCAGCATAGTATTCAGTTTTGTTTAAAACGCGAGTGAGAAATAAACTTTTATGAAAAAATTGCATATATAGTAACCTTGTGAAACACTTCGTATTATACACCCACGTCAAAAATAAAATGATTTCAAGTCATTTTCAAGACCACTGCAAAAACTCTTACAATAAAACTTGTATTATTAAAAATTAGGCCCATTTTTAAGGATTAAACCAGTGATACTACAGGTCTCAAGTTTTTGAACAGATAATTTCACTCCACCAATGATGCAGGAAAAAGTCAGAGGTTCGATAACTCATCACTCTTTCAGAGTGACAATATTTGACAGACCTAGTGGAAATCAATTTGATCTTCCTCCAGTGCTTAGATGATGCAGTGTTATGATAATTATTGAAATACACTTCGCATATATCTTCAGTACAATGCAGTGAAACCAAACTGTGTAAAATACATGTATTTACAATGCAAATTATTCAAAAAAGAAGATAGTACCACATAACTTACTACAGATGCATCCAACTGTGTAAAGACACCGGTGCTGAGATCCGCGATAGTAACAAAATATCCTACAACGTAGCCAAACAGTAAGCCGATTATGCTGAAAAAATGGTTTTTAAGCTCCCCTCTTACCTTAATTCGGCCAAAAATTTTCCCCAGTATCCCAGAGCTTTTAAGCCTATATAAATATTGGTCACTTAGGAAATTCAAATTACAAGCATGTTCAAACGGAAGGATTCGGTGTGCAGAACAAATGTATATTAAAGCGTCGCAGGACATAATTGAAAACACAGCCGTTACTCCGAGAAATAAAAGAGACAGAAAAATACCACACTTGAGTCATTAAGAAGTATGAATAAACAAATACCTGGTGGAAACAGAATGGCATAGCCAAAGCAGCAACACCCACAGTATTATTAATTAACGTAACAATAGGGCCAGACAGAAATAACACCTCGTTGTAGGTATTTGGATATTTATCAACAAGACGAAACCATTTGGATGGCATTTCACGTCCTAACAGGCATTAATAACAAGATAAAAAGATCATTTTACCAATATTATTACACACGACCAGACCTTGGGTCAAATTTGATCAGCCACGCGCTTACAGAAATAAACGGAAAATCTCGCAACTGATATAATTAATTTTATTCAATAGTTGCTTTTTAGGCATGAGGACAAACAACAACAAAATAAACTTAGGTGCAACGCAACTCGTTGAATTCCCCCTTGGCCTCCAATATCCAATATCTTTTTTACGAGCTAGTATAAACCAATTTGATTTCTTTGCGCTCGCCTCTTGATTGTGAGGTAGAGGTTCCTGATCTTTGGTAAACGTCTGTGTAGCTCGTCCCGCCACTCGACTGTCGTAGCTTTGGTTGACTCCAACAGGAGTAGTGCTGGGATTAATTATATGGCGTCTGTAGTATGAAGTGTGTTAAGACTGTTACTACTGTGAATGGAGTTGATCCTTTCACCAGTTAGTCTTTCGGTATCGTCGTCAATGGAAAAGAGATAATAATAATAATATATAATAATAATAGATATAATTAGTAAAGGTATTCAGACTAACAGACAGAGAAAAAATAAGAAAACGTAACAACAGTCAGTCAACCGGTATACATATATATATACATATATATATACCAGTAATAATGATAATAATAATAATAAGTGTAGTTAAAGCTGTCAGGAGAGTAAGACTGAAGGGAATGTGAAGAAGTAAAACGACCAGTTTAATTGTCTACCTTTGAATGGTATATGCGATTTTAAGGGGATAGGCCATTTGGATACAGTCCTTGTGTCGCTGCAAGGTTGTCCAGCCTTCGCTTAAAGGCGTCCACAGATGGTGCCATAGCTACATCTGCCGGTAAGGAATTCCAGGGACGGCAAACCCGCAGGGAAAAGAAGTGGGAGCGCACCCGGGTCCTTGCCCTCTGATGAGCTATCCTTCTGGGATTTCCACGAGGGAGCCTATACCTACTCAATGGCAGAACACCTTTGTTCGGGTGATTCTGATCATTTGTTATTTTGTAGGCAGTAATTAAATCCCCCCTCAGGCGACGGTAACTGAGTGTGAATAGGCCTAATTTCTTCAGCCTTTCGTCATATGGTTTATTTCGGAGACCAACCACTCCTTTTGTTGCCCGTCGTTGGGCTCTTTCCAAGAGGTTGGCGTCTCTTTTAAGCAGTGGGGGTGCAATGATATTATGCACTTCAAGATGCGGTCTGACGTATGTTTTATACAACCTTAGAAAGAGCTCAGGAGTGAGTGCACCTAATTGTCTATGTGTAAAGTGTATGACCGCATATGCCCTCGCTACATCCCCCGTGTAATTCACGCTTGTGTCCATTTTCTCCGTTAGAACTAGACCTAAGTCACGTTCCGACGTTGAGCAGGACAAGCTTTCATTGCACAGGGTGTAACTTGCATTCTGCAGTCTACAGGTGCGTAACTTCACTACTTTGCACTTTTTCAGGTTGAAAGTCATTCCACTGGTTACCGCCCAGTCTTCCAGAAGCCTTAGATCTGCCTGCAGCCTATCTGAGTCCTCCGGACACTTTACCGCCCTCCATATCTTTACGTCATCAGCGTATAGAAGAGTCGGGCAGTTTAGACGGCATGGTAAATCATTGATAAAAATCAAGAACATCAGTGGTCCCAGGATAGAACCCTGCGACACTCCTGATGACGAGCTGTGCCAAGATGATCGGACTCGATTGACCTTGGTGCAAAATTGCCTTTCAGTTAGGTAGTCCTTCAACCATGACAGAAGTGGTTTACCTAGACCTACCTGGCTTATTTTGTGTAGGAGAAGGTCATGGTGAACAGTGTCAAATGCCTTCTCAAAGTCTAGAAAGATCACATGGACAGGAACATTCATATCCCAGCATGATGTCCAATCGTCCCAAGCTGATAATAAGTTAGTGACGCAGGATCTTCCTTTCCTGAAACCGTGTTGGGCTTCATGGAGTATTTTAGACCTATCCAGATATTCCCTGATGTGATCATCAATAATACTTTCCAGTACTTTCGATACCACTAGGAGTAGAGCTACTGGTCTATAACTGGTGGGATTTTGCCTATCCCCACCCTTGAAGATCGGAGAAAGGATGCTTCTTTTCCATTCCTTTGGCAGTTTCCCCGATTCCATGGAGTGTTGGAACAAGTCGCATAAAGGCCTACAGAGAGCTTCGGCGCACTGTTTCAGAACAGATGGCCTGATGTCATCACACCCTGGGGACTTCCCAGGTATAAGTCGCTGCAGCTTTCTCAGTACTATTGCAGGGTTTATTTGAGGGGTGGCTATTTGGTCTTCCTCCTGTGAAATAGTCATGCCACCATTTTGGTTCGTAACGGTAATACCCACATTGCTGTTTAGCTGTTTGGCGAAGGCTAAACTGAATGTTTCAGCCATCTCCAGACTAGTGAGATATTGACCGTTTTGGCCTACTAAGGCGCAAGCCCCTTGGTTGGTTGGTTTCCTTTCCGACATGAATCGGTACAAATTCTTCGGGTTTGCCAGGAGTTTTTTAGCAAGGTTAGCCTGGAATGACCTTCTGTCCCTCCTGACTCTTGCATTGCACCGGTTCCTGAGTTCCAGGTATGCATCATGGTCGATCTGGCTTCTAGATACGCGCCACGTAAACCAAGCCTTCCCCTTTGCTTGCAGAATACGCTGCGTGCCTCTCTTTAACCATGATGATTTTCTTTTTGGCTGTGCTGTGACTAAAGGGACGGTATCCGAGATCGCTGTATGAATAATCTTTTTTACCGCTTCCCAGTGTTCATCCACAGACAGCTCATCCCATGCTAAGGGCCAGTCTGCATTGGACAAGAGCCTCCGCATTTCAGCGTAGTCAGCCTTGCTGTAACACAGACATGGTTGCGTAGCGTCCCACTGCAAGTGCTCACGGAGAACGAGGTCGAAACCTATGACTGCATGGTCACTACTTCCTAGAGGAGTCATGACCTGGACCTTTTCGACGAGTAGTTGGTCACTAGTTAGAATGTAGTCTAGTTTTGATGACTTTCCACTAGGGCCCCACCTAGTGTCGTCTCCAACATTCTCAGTCAGTCCCGTGTCCCGAATAGCTTGCAGTAGATTTCGGCCGAATTTTCCCTTAGCATACCCCGAGCCAAGGTTCAGTGATGGGGCACTGAAATCTCCAGCAATGGTGATTTGGTCATAGCCCAAGTCTCGTATCCCTGTGATAGTGCTGAGCAGTAGCTGATTGTGCTCTGCCCCACAGGTGGGAGATCGGTAGATGCCACCAAGTAAATGCTTGGTGTGGCCTACGGTGAAATGACACCATATGGAGTCTGGGAGTTCAATAAGTGGTGGGTTCGTTGCGCGAACACATTTAAGTTGCCTATCAAAGTATATGGCAACTCCCCCTCCTTCCTTATTATCCCTGTCTCTCCTGACCAAAACCATATCACCTATACTGATTTCATTATCGGCGATAGTTGGGGTTAGCCATGTTTCGGTGAGAATGATCATTTTCAGTTGTAGGTGTGCTTGGAGATTTCGGAGTTCACCTATTTTTACTCTCAGCCCCCTCACATTGCTATACAGGCAGCTGACAGTGAGTCTTACAACCTCAGCGTGTTGTGGGGTAGTTGACGTGAAGCTGTCTGCTGGTAGGGAACTTAGTGTTGGGACTAATTGGCCAGTTCCGATGGAACCGGCCCATTGTGGTTTTTTCCCTTGGATTTAGGCAGGACACTTGGGTGGCACAGACTGTTATTCTCAGAACTGCATCGCTCGAGTGTCACTGAAGCTTGGGGACGTATTAAAGCCTCAGTTTGCTGCCTCCTTATGGTTCGAGGTCTGCTTTCGCAACATCGGATGTGTCCTCCCATTTTCCCCTTGATCTCATACCACCGTTGAAGTGTTATGGCCAACTGCTCTGGGGAGTTGAATGTGACACTAAGCAGCTTTGGGGAGCTAATCAGTGTGAGATGAGCGGGGCGAGGTAGTCGGTAAACGGAGATGGCTCCAGAAGCGCCAAGGGCCATCTGAGACGACAGCCATCTCCACTGCTGTACGTCATGCATGTGTTTTTCACAGGCAGTGCCCGTTTCCAGCTCCGGGACACCGTGCACTACCATAGAGGTGGAAGGCAAAAGTTCCGGTGACTCCTTTGCCATTTGTCTGACAGCCCATGGTCTGTCTTGTCTCACTCTTATGTTAGATCTTCTGTCGATGGCTAGTACCTGAGCCATCAATAGTACCTTTTCGGCCTCTTCGGCAGAGTCCAGTGTAACCCGTAATGGGGGTGGCTTACCTTGAGGTGTGTGGCCACCCCTGTACAGCCTGCACAATTTCACTGAACTAATATTCAGACCTAGTTCATTGCACAGGTTGGACCACTGTTCCTGATCAAACAGGGCCCGCTGTTCAAGCAAGCTGTCCTTGCTCACAGGTACGTTAAAGAGGATGAGCGAATTAGACCGATTAACCTCAGACTTAGGTTTGGCCTTTGGCTTCTCATATTCCTTTGCAGCATCAGCAACTTTAGGCTTCATCGGGTTCTGGCCAGCCTTTATTGTGTTACCAAGCTTGCTTGTGGATGCAAGTGGTGCTTCTCTAACTCTATCTTTCCTTAATGTTTTAGGTCCAACCTTGTGAATCTTCACCTTGTGAAAATTGGCATTTTCGGTCAGTAGGACTGGAGTGTCCTTCTTACTGTCTATGCCAAGTTTTGGCAATGTGATGTTAGCAGGTGGGGAGCTACATAAGACCGTGTTGGGACACAGGGGCGGCGTGAAGTTTCTGCTAACCGCAGACACGCTCTGTGTGACTACACCAGGGCGACAGAGTGGACAGATGTACCAAAACCACGGGCACGGGTTATTTCTCATAAACTCGTAGTATGATTTCGGTACCTCTTTGTCGCAACGGCAGTGCACCCACCGTTTGCAAAAATTGCATTCGAAAGCTGAGTCCGCTTTAGAAACAATGATATTGCACGCCTGGCATTCGTCTCCCTTACTTGGTG